CACACACACACACACACACACACACACACACACGCACGCACGCACGCACGCACATTATAAATGCTTTCGATTGAATGGTTGCAAAAAACAAATGAATTTCATAATAACGAATGATTGAAAATGTATTCACATTAACTTACTCAAATGAATCGTAATATCTGAAAAATTCTATTAAAAGCTCCCCAAGTGTTTGAGTATTACGTGGATGCAGTGCATTATTTGGTATGTTTAATTCTTCGTGAATGTCAATACTATGAATGTCAGAAAGGGGATGGAACTTGCCTTTAAAAAGATTGTGCAAACATGGTAATACTGCAGGAGTCACTCCACCTACGCGATAAGTCAACAAACAGCCAATTATTTATCCAGATATTTTCGACTAAAATCAACATTTTAAAGTAGCTTACATTGTAAAAAATGGATCACCATTAAGACCAAAGAATAACTAGATATCGTCATATGCCTTGCATCATTAATATTTTGACATTGTGCCCACATTTTAACTACCAGAACTAAGGGTCGTACTCTCCAGTCGACTGAAATTTATTAATAATGAAAGATACAAAATATACGCAAAACCTCGATTATGGGAAAAAGTATCTTACTTCGGGAGTAGCAATGCAACAGGTGAGTATTTCGAATACCAACCACGTTATTGTAGTTTAAATCGACATCTAAATTGTAAACATTGTCACGTATCTTTAATATTGGTACTTTAGCCTGTATTAATTCCAAATGACTGATGAAATCTATAATCAATATCTTTAATAATATAAAATTGTAGTTGAAAAATTTATTCGTTATTTAAATATAATTTTTACGAACCACTTCTTTTAAGACATGACATAATTTGCCCTAGTCGATAAATAGCTTCACTCCTTTGATCTACTGCTGTATCTCGAACGAGAAGGCACATATCAACATCGCTAACATTAGATCCAAAACCATTCAGTGTAGAACCTACCATGAACAGCCCATACTGAGGAAATCTTGACTGTAATAAATTTAATGGATTATCGAGCTTTATTTAATGCAATCGCAACTCCATTGATTCCTTAGCTTTTATAAGTTTTTTTTTTAATTGACAAGTATTAAGATTTTAAGCCATATTTGCAGCATTATAATTATTATATACTAAAGTGTTATTTTGAAATTAATATTTAAGTATTTTCGAAAAAAGCGAAAGCGAAAGATAAATTTCACTTGATATAAAATTCCTTAAATTAATTTAAAATTATTCTATGATATTTACCTTAATATAAAAAAAGAGATACTTCCATAAATACATTTTATGGCAAAAAGTACTTTGTGTCAGTTGATTCTGCTCAAACTTTTCCCAAATAGCCTTTGATAATTTGTCGTAAACGGAGCCTGTTAATAACTTACTTGGTCGTTGTTTTGTTTGTATGAGATGTGATCTGTCAAGAAATCTATCTGCTGGACTATAATAATATTTTGGACAGACATTAACTTCTGACAGAATTGCTCCTGTAAACTTTTTTCCTCGCTGTGGCCGTTGTATTGTTGGGGTAATCCTTGCTATATAAATATCTCATATTACATACAATACACTTTATTTACTTACATTATTAGTATCGATATTAATGTTGTTACTTAAATATTGACCTGTTGGATATTTTCTTCTATTTTGATGATTTTGAACTACAGATCTTGGTACCATTTCATTGAAATCATTAGATAATCGGTCATCTTGGTATAAATTACTAGTGGACAAGCTCGTAACTAAACTTCCTCGATTGCTGTGATTTTGCCTTGTGTTTCTATTTCTAAATATATTATGCTTATTGTTATAGTTGAATTATTTTGAAGGATTATGTAATTAATAAAGAAATGATGGTACGCACTTATATTGAAGTTCTGATACAGAAGGTAAAGAATCTCGTTCGTCGGAACTCTCAGTTTGACTACTACTCTTGTAATATTTATTAGGTGTTGGCGAACGAGAGCTAAAACCACTGTCGCTATTGTTACATGACTCTTGAAGTAATGGTAGATCTTGGTAAGAGTGTCGTTTGTCTAATTTATTATTGTTACTCCAAACATGCTTTTTTGTGGATCCCGTAGTCATTGGTCTGTAATTTATTCTCGGTTGTACTGGTGTTATTGATAAAGGATTCGATGTGTTCATTCTTTGCGGTGTTGTAGGGGCGCTATTCGGAGAATTCATTCGTTGAGGCCAATTTGTAGTAGTTCCACCAGTATGCAAGGCATAATTAGCATTTTGTGCTTCCATGTTAAAGCGATGTAAAATTTCAAAAGGATAAGATCCTTGCTATAAAATTGTTTATTATGAAATTATATATTAAACATAATTAATTGCATATAGGTAAATTAATTATATGTGAATTTTTGTTTAGAACTTAAATTTTTCTTAAATTTTTTAATATTTCAAGCTGCTAAATATTTTAACAGACTATTCTGTCTTAAAGTTTTAAATTAATTAAAAGAACGTACAAATTTATGAATAACGTATTAGCTTCTATTAAAGGATTCTTAATCGTTTCACGATAATGTCCCTTCGTTAAAAACTGAATTATTGGACTAGCGATATAAGAAATGAACTTTTCATACCTGTGTTGCACGTTGTCTATTATTATTTGAAGTATTACGACCAAACTGAATGAATTCTTGATGCATATTAGTTGGACTACTGGTATAAAATGCATGATTTTGCAGAGAAAGAAATTGTCCATTTGCTTGATAACTACCCACTACTTGTACCATTGTGTGAGGTGAAAAGGTAGACTGATACATAGTTAAGCTTTAGTATTTGTCAAAGATTTGATCTTTGTTAGAAGTAAATAAGCAAGATGATTTTACTACCCTTAGTATACATTTAATATTTAGTTCCAACTACTAAAAAAAGAGAAAAAAAAGTAATTGTTAAATTTATTTGATTTCATTATTATCTAGAAGGCCCACTAACGATAGCTGACTCTCAGTATCGTATCAATAATTATAATGCTATATTTCATTAAAAATTGGAACAATCCATATGTATGTGTGTGTGTGTGTGTGCGTGCGTGTGCGTGCGTGCGTGCGTGCGCGCGCGTGTGTGCGCGCGTGTATAATTTCTACTATTATTATTCATTGGCTATATTAAATTATATCTGATCTAGAAAAATATAAAAGAATCAAATTTTTATAGGCTTTACTTAGCATTCGATATATCATTAATAGATTGCATTAAATAACGATAATATTTAAATTATCGTTCTCATTAATTCGTGTGAATTCAGAAAATTTATTAACTCATAGAATTAACATAGAATTATTTCATAAAACTCGAATCCCATACAGTTTTCTGAATAATGATAAATGAAAAGCTAATCAATAAACGAATTTTTGTAAAAATATGTCTGCCAAAATCATAAATTTATCATTATTCACATACAGTTGCCTTTATTATTAACTATTTACATTTATTTTCGCGGTTAAAATGTCCTGGTAAAATTGTAAAAACAAGATAGTAATTTTATAAATTGAATTAATCCCTCGAGTATCATTGATTTATTATAATTTCTACTTGATGCATAATCATGAAACAATCACAAAATATAATTGATATTATAATGCATTGGATAATGTTCTTCCAAAAATTAAATAACTACAAACGAGTTATATAATTGCGATCAAAAGCATTTAAAAGAACTCGTAAAAAGTGAGGTTAGAAGCATGTGGTGAAAACATAACAGTAATGTAAACAAAAGCACAAAAAAGAAACATGTGTATAAATCACAGTTGTAAAAAAAGATGATAAGGATAAGCTCAATAAGTAATTACCTGGCCACGACAAAATTAAATAATAATCGCCATTTTTCCAAAAAAAGCAGTTTCTTTATGGGCCGCTCGAATTCGTCATTTCATGACGGAATAGCAGGTTTCCTTTCTTTTTTTTGCCTCGTCGATCGCCGAACGAGACGCAGAAAATGTAAACACAGGCGTAGCTACGATGATGACAACGGGCGGAAAATTTTCTCCTACTTCGAAGAGTTCAAAACCGTTGAGAGGGGAAAAAAATTCAATTTTACGCAACGAGCATTCGCTAATCAGCCGCTGCTGAATTCGCTCATTCGTCTCTCGAGCTGAGCTGGACTCTGGACTCTGGAGCAGTGAAGCCTCGAAGTCGCCGGCTCCGTTTTTCAATTATTGAATTTTTCTGATTCTAAGACAATAATTTGCTTCTCCGTGGCCAGATGGGGGCAATAATACTCGACTAAAGTAGAGGGCCAGTAGGTCCCGCATTTCCCTAATCACCTGTATTTATCGCTCGGTTTTAGCGCCTAAGAATTAGCTTGCTCCCATTTAATAGGCAATTGCCCTCCTAACGCCCCCTCACCGCCCCGCCGCAACGCCGCCAATCACCCCGCCCCTCCCCCCTCACCGCCCGCCCACCCCACACACACACACGCGCGCGCGCGCAAGCGACAGTTATCTATGAAAATTATCTATTACAATATAATAACGGGGAGGACGGTGCGGGCAACAATGACATGTATATTCATTCGTATCTCTTCATTCAATATCTTTCGTTTAAAATTCACCCCTAAGTGCTGAATACATCTCACCCAACGTTTCCATCCTCTTTTAATAGTCGGGTCTTTTATTTTCTGAATACTTAAAAAAAAAAAAAAAAAAAATTATAAAGAATTTCAGTAATTATTAATGGAGGACGACTTTAATAAATGTATGAATTGTCACAGATACGCGGACATAAATTAAGAATAAAAATAATTCAATAACCGAATGTTTAAAATTTCTTAGTAAATATAAACATGGAATCAGGTGTATAGCGATAATGATGCCAGTTTAATGAGTTTAATCAACGAATTTTAAATACATATTAATACATATTTTCAATAGTATATATATTTCAATAGTATAAGAATATAATAATAATAAAAAAAAAAAAAAAAAAAAAAAAAAAAAAAAAAAAATAAAATTTTTACCGCCTAAAATGCTTTAACAATTTACACGATACAGTAATATAAAGTTTATTTCGTTATTTATCACAATAAAGAATACTTTAATTCTATTGGCACATAAAATCATACATTACAATAACTATTAGATTTTTACAAAATTTTAATAAAATCAGGATTATCTTTTAAAATAGATTTAATAGTTTCCTTTTATAATAGTTCATTATATTCGTCAAGAACTGGAAATATGTAAATAAAACATATTAACAAATATCTATCATTGTATAACAATGATATTCAAATATTCAAAAATTCAAATGATATTTAAGTTTCCATACTGACACGGACGTTTAAAATTTTTTTTTACAAAATTTATACATTAAGTTTAATAATCTTACATTCAACTGAATTTGAATTTACTTTTGTGATTTTATTATGTAATGTTCTTTCGAATTTTTAAATTATATTCTTTCGAATGCAGTAGCATACATCATAGTAAATATTAAGAAGAATTCTGTCGAATCTAAATATTAAATGAATTGAACTTATAATAGTCGTAAATCATGTTTCCCCTCCACCCTGCCCCGACCTTTTTTTTTTGTTTTTTTTTTTGTTGACGATATTTTCACGGAAACGAAGTATTTTTTTTATTATATTTTAAAAGATTTTACGCATCGAACAATTCATATTTACTTAAATTTGAGTTATTTTAATAATTCTCAGTGGAAGTTGGAAAGCTTTAATGAATTTAAATAATTCATGTAATAATTTCTTTTTAATATTAACTTATTTTAACTCATGAGTTATATAATTACATGTTACGAGGAAAATCCTTTGGCTTTGACTCTTCATGGCCGATCATCTGCATCTCGATGATAACGTGGAGTTAGTTGTTTTTGGTCGTAGTCTTGGCGAAATTCCTTGTTCAAGTTTACGGTAAGCCATTGATTTGTGAAGTAAGGAGCACTCGACGTGCGCCAAACATTCCTCCAAAAATCGTGAATCTACTGTAAGCAATACACCATTCAATAAAATATCTGTGTTGATATTGATAAGATAAAAGATTATTACTTATTCTTGACAATTATTTATTTATTTTTTGATATTATAATACGTTTTTATGGCTATGCGTACGTAGTCCAATCCTCCTTTTTTTCTTTTTTCTTTTTTTCTACTAAGACTATTATCAGCATTTTTATACGCCTTTTATTGTTAAACCCATTATTCCTAATTTAGATTATGTTGAATATTCGCGCTCATTCACACGTCAATGCGAACATCTCATTATCAAACTAGATTACACACTTGCAAACTTAACGTTAAATATCCATTTGGTAAGTTGTTTTAAGTTTTAGAGATCCATTGGGTTGGCAGCGTATTAGCATCCACCGCTACTACATTAATGACTGTAAAATAATAAATAAACAGTATCATAAATGCGATAAATATGGGTTTCTCACTTTGGAATTTATTCGAAGCTACTATATTAGTTTTGAATGCTGCTTGTATTTTGCACGAAGAAAGATTTCTTATGAAATGTGAGTAAAGTCTCGCAAAAGAAATAAATTTCATATATGTTTGTGTGCAATGTGGTAGGTGCGAATTGTTGCACTTCGAGGTTACATGTAGTTTTTGTTGAGAATCATTAAATACGACAATGAAAAAGAGATATAAACTATTGATAAATATGCCATAAAATTTAATGAAGCTTTGATTTTTAAATTAAAGTCGTCAAATTGAAAATTTATTGAATATTTCACATTATACTTTACTGCATAGAGTCTTTATAAAAATAATATGTCACAATGATTTTTATTAAAATCGATTAATGTTTCGGAGATAGAGATTTAATTCAATTTTGTATTGCAAAATTTCTCTTTTATAATTTAATTATAAGGCTCTATATTAAGATGAATTTTATTATGAATTAATTTATTCAACTATCAATATGCATATGGACATACATAACCTTTTCCTTCTTATAATTTTAGATACAGTAATAATCATAAAATTGCAATTTATTTTTATGAATTAGGGATACGTTTAATATTTTTTATAAATATATATTCACTATTAAATTAAGGGCTGTTTCTTTTTCATTATTTTTTTTCATTTTTAGTTAATTTTTGCATGAACAGTTACTTTCAAAAAGTCGTTGATTACGATGAGTAATAATGAAACGTGTATTTTAAGATACTTTTCAAAAGTTCGCTTATATTTGTTTTTTTCTCTTTTAGTTAATAATTTAGTTATACATAAGTTGTTATATATAAATAGCTTTCTTCTTCAATTTTGAAGTTGAATGTTGGAAAAATTAGAATGAATTAACGCGTTCTTACTCCTATCTCTCACGTTATAATTTATTGTACAGTTTTATAAATATTTATTTACTATGAAAATAATAATTAATTATAACTGTCATTAATTGAAGATGGTTGGGGTGCGAATCAAAATATTCAGGGTTTTGGAGAGCCTCCCACAGTCAAATCACAAATTTTGAATTTACTTAGATCAATTCGCACAGTCGTTAGAAGTAAGTATTTAATAAAAATGTAAAATATTAAAATAGATTAAAATATATACAATAACACTAATATTATAATTTTCACATTTTTCAGTTCCATTAATATTTTTCAATATTGTAACAATATTTATAAAATTAATTTTTGGATAAGAGGATAAATATTCCAATGAATTGTACATAGATTATATAATGATATAATGATTTATGTTTAATAAAATTTGTACGCTCGCATTTTATAAGATGAACATTCATTTATTTTTACAATAATGTACAAAACAAATAAATAATACCATTTGTTATTACTTTCTTTTAACATTTTTCTGATTACTGTAATTATATATTTACAATTTTTATTCTAACTGCTTTTAATTTATTTTTAATTTAGTTAATAAAAATTTTGTTTCCGATGTTTTAATTATTTTAATCTTTTGTTATAATAATGCATTTCTGATAAATATAATTAAAAACTAATCTTGTAGAAGTGTACGTAATTATTTTTTAAAAATTTCTACGTTTATGATATAATTAGAGTTTATTAATTTATTAATTTATTATACTTTTATAATGAAGGTAGCGAAAAAGAAAAGTAATTTATCACATCAATTATTTAATGGGAAAAAAATTTATGATTTAATAAATCTTTGCCTATGAGACTAAATATTTTCCATAGGAAGAATAAATAAAAACTTGAATAAAGTGAAGTTAAAAAAGTAAATAATTAAATTAATTCAGTATTTACATATATGAATTACAATGCTGCACGGTTGTAAACAACTATTATTAAGTGTGCTGTTTTTTGGTTAGGATACGCTAAAATTCATTATATAAATTTAACAATAATTTATTTTAATTGTAATATTTCAGTATATGTTTTCAAAATATGCTTTTTATTTGTATTATTTATGTTGTTTTCTTCTCTCCATTTACTATCTCAAGTCTGATAGTAAACAAACAAATTTATTTCATTTTATTAATAAAAATATTAATATCTTTTAAATATCAATAAAAAATCATTATATTTAAAAGTGATTGATAATATGAAATGAGTACTAAGCGATTCTAAAAATTCTTCCAATATTAGATTATTATGGCCTATTTAAGTTAAAAGTTATTTCTTTAACAATTATTATAAAAAAATCGCATGATTTAAAAATATTAAATTGTAATTTTATTTAATATATACTTAAAAATATAATAATCAACGTAATTGTGCCTTTAACTATGTAGGAATTTAAATAAAGGTAATTTACAATCGTCCTAATATTGCTTTCAAAGAAATTAATACAAAACCATATTACATGTATAATAAGAAAAGAAAAAAAAAAAAAAAAAAACAAGTAAATGTAATTTAAATTATTGTTATTAACTACTCTAAATGGGATAAAAATAACTTTTTTTAAATATTATTTAATATAGATAATGATAATGATTTATGTTAAGTAATAATAATATATGTCGAGTATGTCAAAGCAAATAAAATTTTGTTTCAATTTCAATATAAATAATAATTTATTAAACATGATTTTTAATGTTTGCATTTTTATAAAACTGATTTAAATTAATTCTTATGTTATTGAAAATAAATTCAAACGATACTTATCCTTTCTGCTTGTTTGCATTGCTCATTTTGCCGGAAAATTTCATTCGCCAATTAATATATCGACTTTACAGCAATTTAATTGTATACTTTTTTGCGAATCATCGTGTACGATCTACGAGTCTTTTTCTTTTGTTCCTTTCACAGAATTCTACTGTTTTTGACGGCTAATCGCGTTTCTTTCCAGATTATGTACCCCTTGCAAAATTGATTATCGTTTGTCTCACGCGCGCGCACTATGAGCTGTGACTTTCCCCACATTTAGGATAATACAGGGAGGGAGATGTATGCGATCCTCCGACGCGCGAGATCAAGCATGAGAGATCTCGATCGTGTTTACGTTTACTCGAATTTTATGTTTACGTATATTTGCACTTTCGCTATTTAATTCATCTACGTTCAGAATCACTCTTTTCTATAACATTATCTATTAGGCTTAAAGATGTGCGTGCGCGTTTAAAGTGAATCTTGGTTTATCGCTGGTTTACTGGTTTACACGATGATACAGTAATTATCTCTGAGATTATTTTATAGTCAATAGTACCAAGCATATTCGGATAAATATTAATTATATTATCATTGTTTTTTTTAGAGTAGAACGTGATACTTTATATTTAATTATATTGAATAAATATTGTCAATTTTTCATACATTGATGGATAAGAAATTAAATTTCATATTAAGATACGAAAAGTGAAAATGTAAGATTTGAGCCAAGAGCGCCTTTTCAAAAAAAAAAAAAAAAAAAAAAAACTTATTATTTTAATAAATTACGTTCAATTTTTACGTTTGAATGACGTTTGAAATCTTGTTTATTACATCCTTAAATATTAAATTTTTAATATGATATTAAACTTCAATATTTTGTATGAGCTTATAAATCTGAATTATTCAAAATATATTGAAAATTCTCTTTATATTTATGAATTATTAGCATTTAATATTAAATTACATCGTTTCGTCGTATAATTTGTGCAATAATAGCCTATTATTAAGATATATTACTAATCATTTATTGGTTATATGTTGACGTGTTAAGGAATCATTGATATTTATTTAAAATTAATTTTTAAACATGTGAGCTTGTATTTTTTTATTATTCTACTATTTATCTAAAAATTATTAGATATATGTGTTAATAAATATTACAAAAGAACATGAGCGGTTAATTATGTATCTCTAGAAGAAAGTGAAACAAGATGATAAATATCTTCTGTTATATAAATTGTAATTATCAGTTAATAAAAAATTTCTTTCTAATATGAATTGTAAAACTCAATTTACACTTTCTATTGAATTTATAATGCATTCATTCGTAGGAGTACCTGTAAATATTATTAATTTAATCGGAATTAATTAATTAAATTAATTTGATCGTCTGCCAATATATTTTTTCTCTTAATTTTAATGTATCCATTTCTCGTATAATTGGATTTTATTTAAAAGTAAATTCTACAATAAATATAGATTTTTTATAAAAAAAAAAAAAAAAAAAAAAAAAACTTAATTCAGTGGATAATTGATAACATTTTATTCTTATGAAAATAGTTCATTTCTAGGAATAATTTTAAACGTTAAAATGTATAATTAAAAATATTGATTACTGAAATCGTCAATTAAAATTTGTTTATATTTATGCAATTAGTGATAGGTCGGAAAAATTTGGTAAATAACTGGAAAATCTAGTAAAAGTTTATTTAGATAATTGGAAACGCGTTGAAACAAAGGCACACATAATGATTTTTAGTGAGTTAATATTAATATATAATCGGTCAAATCATATATTTTAATAAGATTTTAACGATTTACAATATTTAAAAATTTTTTTTTAACAATCATATCAATAGTTAAACCATAAAATTATTTGTTAATACTTTATTTTACTATTGTCTAGAAATTGTTTTCAATTGGAATTACCTGAATATACTTTACGCGCAAGTGCCGACATAGTAAATAAACAATAAATTAGTTAGTTTTTATCTTTTAAGTAACAACTTTGTGTGTCAAAGTTTAAATAAGTCTGTAAAAATAAAAGAGTAAGACAATACTCGGAAAGGAATTAGTAGATAATCATAGAATAATAGAAAGTATTTAATGTATAATTTGAATGAAAATATGCTTAATCAACATTTTAATCTTCATGAGTTTGTTAATATAATATGTTGTATTGATTATACTTAATAAGCATTGTACTATTAATTTATGTAAATTTATTGTTTATTATGTCTGTGGTTAGTGTCGAATTTATAAGATAAGTTATTTAATTAATCTTTAAAATTTCGAACCAGTAGAAACAAAATTAATAGAGCTAAATATTAAATAAAGTTTAATTATCTAAGTACTAAGTGAAGGTTCATCGTAATGATTTAATTTATGTATAATTTTTTTTTATTATTTTCAGTTTATTTGCTTAGTTTATCTATTATAGTAATTAATTTTGTATTTTATGATTTGTACAAAAATAATTAAAAGAATATATGGTTGGTTAATTATTAATATTTGAATCTTACTATAATAGTTTATTTTACACTAGCATAAAAAAAATTTAGAAATTTTCTTTATTTGTATAATATTTTGATCTGATCGTTTATTACGATACTTCCTTGCAAAATTATTTACGATATTATTCTAATATTAATTAACGTCAAAGAGAAAATGTCAGTTATTTTGGAATTTTTTACTTTTATATATCTGGTGGTGAACTTATTTCATAAATTTTCACAAGTATTATCGAAATAAAAATTAATTGATAATTATATACTGTTTTAGTAATATATTTTTATTAATGTAAAAATGTCATCATTAGTGACAAATGCAATTTTTATAAGAACTTGAGTACAAATTTTATCACTTTAATTATGTGAATTTGTTGAAATTGAAAGCAGAATTATTAAAATATTTAGCGTGAAACTATATACAATAAAATTTTCAATATTTTGCTAATTTATTTGCTTCCTTTTATTTTAAAAACCTTGAATAATAATTAAATAAAAATGTTGTTGAAGTTTATTATTTTATTATATAATATCAATTTATGCATCTACTAAAATAGTTTATATATTAGTTATGTTTATCAATTATTTTGAAATAATATTATAGAATTTATTAATAGCATTAATTTGAATGAGTTTAAATAAGTTTCGTGACTATTGTGATTTTCATTTCGTGAAACTATTTATTTATTACTTGTAGAAATAAAAAATTTATCTGTGTTTTATGTACTTTCATTAATCTGTACTTAAATACCTACATTTATTGGTATAACGAATAAATATAAATAAATATTTGTATGAAGTAGATATGTCTTTGATATGAACGTTTAGATTGTAAAAATATTTTTAATTTTATAATCTTTAAAAAAAAATAGCATATCTCTTTTGTTACAGTTATTAGAATCATTAAAAGTGAATTAACCTATAGATATATTTATTATCAAAGTAACCGAATTAAAGACAATACATATACATTTACTTTATATCAATATATATTTAGTATTTGTAAAAACAAAACTTTATTTAAAAATAGAATGTTTGTTTTTTTATTCAAGCCATTAAATTTTGAACTAATTCAATGCATTGATGTTAAAAATTTGTTTGAGTTAATTATCAATTATTTTTTTGTTGTAATAAATAAGGTAAGATAATTAATTTACTGAATTATTAATGCTAAAGCTTTATTAATTTTATTAATGTTAATTTTTAATTAAGCAATCAATGCAATAAAAATGTCATATAATTTAGTTTTTTTTCTTTTCTTACAATACGTCTAGTCAAAACAGATTTTAACAGACTATCAAATGATTTTATGTACAGTTGTATTTTATTTTGATCGATTGTATTTTAATTTCATACATTATCGTTATTACATTATGAGAAGCAAAAGAACTACTTGCGTATTAAGACTATTAAAAATTATGTTGATGCAAGCTCGTATGTAATCAAACTATCTTATATATGTGTCGTATTAACAATATAATAGGTATAATGTTAAGTTACATAATATTTTATATTAAAATTTATATTAAATTAAATTGAATATTTTAAGTGCTTGTTAAATATTTTTTCAATTATGATGTATATAGCATCGAGGATTTTGACTGTACTGTAAAATCTTTCAAATGTTCAATTATAATCCAAATTACGTACCTTTTTTCTTTTTCTTTTTCTTTTTTTTTTTTATAATATATACAAATTTACTATTATATTTCGGATTGAAATATACTATTGGCAATTTCATTAAAGTAAATTACGTCACGAGCTTGAATGCTAATAACTTATTATAATATGATTCAATTATAAATAATTGAAGAAATATAAATATTAATTAACGTTTTAAATTTTTCCTAATTGATGGTTATTTTTTTCAAATCCGAATTAATAAAATTATAATCGTAAGTCCGTGAGTACATATAAGAAGACCAGTGGTACAAGAATGATTGTCAATTTTTCGAAATACGGTTGAGAAAATGAAGATAATAAGTGTAAAAAATGAAATAAATAATCAATAGTTAGAAATTGAGAAAATTATATTTAGATGTTGAAATTACACATAACTAATGTTATTTTAGCAAGCAAATTGTACATATATTTTTATACATAAAAGATATACAAACTTTCGAGATTGTTTTTTATTAATCTTTTATGATTAAAGTATCGTTTATTCATTAAAAGTTATTATGCATTATTGGCTTTTGCCTGTAAATGTAAAAAAAAAATTGTTTAAATTGTTTAAAAAATCCTTGATTATATATATTAAGAAGAAAAAAAATTTCTTTTGTCGATAATTTACTTGAATAGAGTGGAGTTATGTGTCTGACTTCGTTGAAAATTTAAACTCCTAATTCAATCAATGAGTCTAAAATATATGTAAGCAATTGTAAATGTTGCTATTCTTCTATAAAATACAATTAATATAAAAATTACTATTTTATTGCTGCAGACATTTGGTGAAAGTTTATGTGAAAAATGTGAATATTCATTATCAGCGAGAGTTTTTAATAAACCTTAGGCAAAGAATTCTGCATTCGCTTACTTTTATATGCTTACGTACTTAAATATACGTTACGTTATAATTATTTAATTGTGAGAGATATTTAAAAACAGTTGACGACACGCAGCATATTACAAAACGTTTAAATGCCGTAAGGATGCGAAAGGGAAGGTGGGCATTATTTATTTATAGTTTCATCTAATAAGTTTTAAACTTAATTTTCAGTGCACGAATGAAGATGAAATAAGATTGATAACGCATGGGAATACGAAGCGATGATTATTGCTCAAAAGTATTACACAAATATCGTAGCGAAGGAATTGAGGAAAAAAGAAATATTTCATAAAGATTATTAATTATAATGGGCAGTTAGCGGTGAAAATTATTGAAAATTGTCTTTGAAAATTTCCTCTAAAAATATCATTACATCCACGGACATATAAGTAAGTTGATCTCGCTGCTAATCACAAGCGTGAGTATCACATTCACGGAGATTACCTGCACGATCTGCTGGATGCACTTATATACTCCGTGCCACTTTTTCATATATCTCTCTTTCTCTCATATTACCGACAAATTTTACTTTCGAATCTTGACCAGTTGTGTCTCTCCAGTTATCGTCGCTGCTATCGTTTCGCAATGCCTTCGGGCGCAAATGCAAACCTCTAGCATGAGAAACACGGCGTAAGGGTCTCGGTTTAAGGTGGCGCGGGGCGAGGTGACGGGGGGGGGGAGTCGGGAGGCGGAGAATGTCAGTCGGGACTCGGGATATACATCTTTGGCGATCGGAAAGCCGCTTCTCGTTCGCATCGGTGGAAAGAATTCGCGTCTCGTCCAGGGAGAGAAGCTCTCTGAGAAGAGCGCGAATTCTCTGGCCTCGAGGCGGGCGCTCGCACGAGATCATTGGCTTCCCGAGTGAAAGGATACGTGGAGAGAAAGGCGCCCGGGAGCGTTCTCCGAAAAATCGTCGGCCCTCTCGTGCATACGCGCGCTTGGGAGGAAGAAGAGCCTGCGAGGTCTGGAGAGAACGGAACGATTTGCTTGGATGCAGGCGGAGAGAATCTCGGAGAAACTCTCGGACGATGACAACGATGACGATGATTATGACGATGATAATGACGATGACGATGATGATGACGATGATGATGACGATGATGATGATGATGATGATGATGATGATGATGATGATAATGATGATGGTGGTGATGATGACAACGACGACGACGACGACGACGAAGATAGCGATGGTTACGCGCGTTGTATGGAATTTAAGTCGGCGATCGGGAGAGAGGGAAATGATGAGGTGGATGAGGGAAGGACGGGAGACGACGAAAGGGGGAAAACTTTATGCAAGCCGGTAGATGTAAGAGATTTGTGGGATAAAGAGGCGTTAGAACGTTATGTTAGAGCGCATTGCCGTCGTGCCGCATAGTAGTTGGGATCCGATTAAAAAATTAAAATTACCTATTACGCAATTGGCATAGGTAAAAGATCCTGTACTCGAGCGATAGGCAAAAAACAAAAAAAAAAACAAAAAAAAAACAAAAAAAAAATGCTAACGAAGGGGAAAATTTTTTAGAGAGTAGTTTGATAATGGAGAAAGTATGAGAGTAGAAACAGGAGAAGGTTAGAGTTGGATAGGAGCTTTATAAGTGAAATCGTTCGGAATTTGTGCTTCAAAAAGGATGATTTTCATATATTTTTTTCTTTCCTTATCTTTTTCATCGTCCGTTATGCGTCGATAGTTATACCAAGAGGATATGACTTAAACGATTGGGCAATAAGTAACTAGATGTTTTTTTTTAACGGTGGCGACGTTTTTTTTTTTATTGTTTTCTACAAAAAAAGCCTTTATACAAGTACAAAAAATGCGTGGTTAAGGAAAATAGTAGCATTATACAAAAGTAGAAAAAATAGTGTGTATTTTATTGTGTGCGTATACGCGTATGTCGTGTTTGGCTATGTTTCTTCTGATCGGATGTTGCCTGGACCGTCTTTACGATCGATGTTTATCTTAATCGAACCGTCTCTCTTCCTCTTTCCGACTATTCGAATCTCCATCCGTTAATGGCATTTAGCTGAACACGAACACGCTATTGTACACGCAAGGGTGGTGTATTCGTGAGTACTTCGTGTAATATTTCGTATATTTACAAAGCGCTCGAGCGCTAATCACGTAAGTAATAATAATTATAATCATCTCCCGTTTTCGTGTTTCCTCCAGACTTCGTCTGTTTCATTGGCTTCGTTTGCGGTATCGTCGTCGTCTTATCTTCGTAACGCGACGTCCTTCTGCGACTGTATTATATTCATGTATATATATATATATATATATATATTCGTTGATCTCATTATTGCGAGAACTTATTTACGATGTTCCTTTACTCTTTTTAACATCTGCGGCTTTCTTGATCCTCGGATGTTGTCGAGGTCGACTTCGTACGGGATAATTCAACACCTTGATAGCACAGTAATTTTTTTTTTTTAATGAACTTTTAACGAAAAGATGCCCGTGACGGAGCCATGGCAAAGCGTAACCATTGATCTTTATGAAACAAGGGTAACGACCTTCCAACGTGGATGTTGAAGAATCATGTTTAAAAATCTTGGATTATCATCTTTAATGGTATCGATCACTCGGCTACACACGGTTAAAGTTTTGAAAAGTTCGCAACCCTTGGACGCGTTGTTGTTGTTGTTGTCGTCGTTATTTATTTATTTTTCTTTTCTTTCGTTTTTCAATAGATTTTTTCCTTCCTCTTTAGATCGGCTTCCCTCCTCTATCTCTTTATCTCTCTACATCTCTATCTCTTCGTTGAATCCATGCATGTTCTTGATAGAAATTCAGCCTTTGGAGCGGCTAAAGTTGGTAAAGCTCGTGACAAAGGTCAGGGTGGAGGATAACGACGCGTGTCGTGTGCTCCTGCGATCGATAGCTGATCCTCGTCAAACGCCAAATAGCTGAATTTCTATCAGGGTCATGAGCATCCGTCCTCCTCTTATCATCCTCTAGGTCGTGATTTAGAAGGCGCCGTAGACGCTACTGGGTCGGCTCGGTCCTGGTGCACCGTAGCTAGAGCTCGGGTAACCATTGCCACTAGATCCTGGGTAGCCAACGCCACTTGATCCTGGGTAGCCATTGCCACTAGAGCCTTGGCTGACTTGGTGGAGCTGAGCGACTTCGATTCCCTGGCGGATTCCCTCGAAATCGATGCCGACAACGCGTCCACCGCTGAAGCCCGGGACTCCGTAGCTGGTACTGGGGACACCGTAGCTAGAGCTGGGGTATCCACTGCTGGGGGCACCGTAGCTGGAGCTCGGGGCACCGTAGCTCGAGCTGGGGGCTGGGTATCCGCCGCCACCGCCGCCACCGCCACCGCCACTCGAAGCCTCTTCTTTGATAATGATGGCCTTGAGCTGTTCAAGGAGCTGGGGGTCGACGTTGGCGCCTTCGCTGGATTGATAGCCGCCGGTGGATACTTGGCTGTAGCCGCCACCGCCGCCGCCACCGATAGAACCACCGCCGAATCCACCGAAGTTGCTAGGCCTCTGGTAGGCGTAGCCGGAGGGTGGCTCGGCCAGGACGAGTCCTGCCATTCCGAGGATCATACACTGCAAGGATTTATGATTATTAGGATTTTATTTCTTTCAATTATTTTCATTTGTAAAATGAATCCGGACGTTATCCGTACTGTTACTCGACTGCTTTCATAATCGACAAACTTAATCGGAATTGGATATTTTATTATTCCCATTTAACTGCGCAAATAGCTTATAAAACTTGATTCGCTCAACTTAATGAATTAACGTATGGAAATTAAGAAGTGGTAACTCGGTATATTAACGCTCTATGGTCGTGAGCTTATTTGTTTAAACTTAAAATTCAATCGAGTGAAATTTTCCCTCCCGTGCTAAGTAAGCGTAAATAAAATTTCCTTTATACTTCTCTCATAAGTTTATTTATTAGCAAATAATGCTCTTTTCAAATATTTCATCAATTATTTTTTTTCTTCTCCTCTCATAAAAATGAAGTACTTGGATAATAAATGAAAATCACAATTGGTAGTAAAAGTTTTTTTTTATATATTAAAATATTTGAATGAAAAATATCGTTAACAATGAAATGGTAATATATAAAAATAATCGATATCGATCCAAAGTCCTACGACCATAATAACGTAGTAATTAGTCAAACGAAAGATTCTTAGTTAATTTTTTGAATGATCAAGTTCATTGGAATGATGTGAAAAAGGACGAGTTGTAATATTGTTAGTTGTTGTAATATTTTTAGCTTGATCAATACTCGATATACCTACTAATAATAAATTAAAAGCGCTAAGGCTTGAAAGCCATGATACGTTAAAGAATATTTTGTGATAAGAATAAAAGTAAAAATAAACAAAAAACAAAAAAAAACAAAAAAAAAAACAAAAAAAAAAACCAAAAAAAAAAGAGAGAGAAAAAAACCTAAAGAATCTATCGATTGTAAAAAGAGTACTAAAAGTTCACAGATGATAAAGCAATAAGAAATGAAATTGTTAGCCAAGCAAATGATTTGAAACGATATGAAGAATCGGTTAATCAGCAGTTAGCAATCGTTTGCTTCGATACTTTGAGATAAAATGTAAACTACATGGGGAATAAATAAAAGGACGAATTGGGCGTGAAAAATTAGACGCGCAGCGAGAATCCCGAGCCGCTAAGTAAGACCGTTGCAGAGTAAATTGCTTGGCAAGTGCGACGGCGAGGAGTAAAAAAGCAGAGTCGGATGCTTACCGCGATCAGAGGATTCATGTTGGCTTCTGCTGCGGGTGCCACTCAGCTCTGTGACTCCGTGGAAGGTGCACACGGGTATTTTATACCCCTAGGCTGGCGCAGCAACCAGTGGGGGCTGGCTCGTTCGAAGAGGAGTTGAAGGAGGGGGAGGGCCCAAGTGAGAGTGAAAACTCTTTCTTCTCTCTCTCTCTCTCTCTCTCTCTCTCTCTCTCTCTCGCACTATCTCTCTATCTCTCTATCTATCTCTTTCACCGGGTTACAGCTCTCCATCTCCCCCAGTCGTCGAAAGCGTTTCCTTTTCTCTCCCCGCTCTCTTTGTCTGGCTGGACGACGGAGAGCGTCTTCTATATGCGCGCGCGCTCGAGCCGAACTCCGCGCTCCTGGATATTTCGACGCGTCGATGCAAAGTTCGGAGGCAGGTTCTCGCGTCCTAGACCTAGACTGGTTTTTCATCTGATTTTTTTTTCTTCATTTGTCGAGGCAGTCCTCTTGGTGTTGTGCGGTTCGGATGACTTTGGCTATTTTTCTATCTTTCGAGCCTTTTTTGCTATTCCAAGCGATTCGTCAAGTCGTTAAGCTAATTTGATATTCGAGAGTAGATGCTTTTATAGTTCAGCGATGTTCCGTTTCGGTGCGTAATCGCTACATTTGCATTGATTTTGTGCTTCGATTATTATCGGTTAGTTAGCCGACGTGCATTAACTGTGAAATATATTATTAATTATTTAACGTGTGATAGAATACTTTCAATCTGAATTTCAGTCTGACTGAAACTTCAGTTTTGTATTTTATCGACTTATTTAGGAATTAGCGATCGATTCTTAATTACAGTTGCACCTTTAGTTGCAAGTCACTTTGTACTTTTTGCATTATCTTGCAATGTAGAATATATATTTGAAATTGCGCTGGTAGAAAATTGGAGAATGGCGTATCTTGAATTTTTGACGTTGCATGCGATAAAATATAAAATTGCCATATATTATAATGAAATAATCAAAATCCACGGGGCGTATACTTCATTAAAATAGCAAATAAATTTTTTTTTTTAATTTAGAATATTCTTATTAATGCTTAAGTACGTAAATACTCGATACATATAATAAATGCGTTTTGTGTTGTGTTTATAAATATAATGTTATAGTAAAGTTCGAATTTATATTTTATAATTGGTGATATGTTATGTTGCCCAAGTTTCGAGACAATTAAAAAAGAAAAATATTCTAAATAAGCAGTGCAAAACGAAATGAAATTTCTCACTTATCAATGTTACCGTTTTATGTTGCAAATCAAAATATCATATCTTACGATTTTCTATAATTTTCCAACTTTTTCTTACCCAAAAGAAATTAAATGAATTTTTTGCGTATGCTCAAATTAATGATAGCACTATAGAATTTAACAATTACGTTCTGTAATTTATTTGGGCTATATTTTTGCTAGCTATCGTTGGATACGAATAAAATCTTTACATAATCGAATCATTATTCAGAAAAATGATTCAATATTTATTGAAATAATAAAAGCGCCAGTATAATGTAGCATTAAAAAAATATTATATATATATATATATATATATATATATATATATATATATATATGTGTGTGTGTGTGTGTGTAATGGATTGTACATTCATTGAATAGCAACAACATATTTAGCAAAAAGGGAAATTCTTTAAGAAATAGTTATGAATAAATTTCAGCGCTATAATATTTTAAAAAGTATTTTATATTATCTAACGAAGAAAAAATCTAAAACGAACGCGCTACCATCGAAAGTTTTCCCTTTTACACGCTGATTTACGATCATCAATTAATCATCATTTCATCCCACACAAATCATTTTTTTCTCCTTTTCTTTTTTTCTCTTTTCTCTTTTATCATTTTTCCGCCGGTGTGATTTATCGAGAGCCAACAAGTAATAATAATAATAATAATAATAATAATAATAATAATAATAATGCAAATGCACGGGCCGAAAAATTAAAATCAAAGGCTACTATTCAAAGCCCTGTGCTCGCCGTCGATGTTATGCAAACAGCAATGTAGGCGCACACGAGCGTAAGAGGAAAAACGAATCACGTACGTGTATCTGTCATCAATGTAACGCGATTTCAAAATAGTTTACGGTCGTAGTGTCGTGATGTGCGCTACAATCGCTGCCGCATTCGTGAGTGACCTATTGCATCTTCAATTACTTGTACTTTGAGAGCCGCTTGGCTTGTCGAATGAATTTTCCTGATATTGAGCTTCGGCAGGGGCTTATTCTCCAGTGCCGACAGTCGATTTCCCCGATCTTTTCACTATTTTCAAGTTTTTTTTTTTCTCGATCGTTCGTTAATTTTCAAGTTATTGTTTATGAAAGCACGCATGGTTTAGTAGCGTGTACGCTCGAGAGTGCTCACGATGATTTTCACTCGTTGGAAGAATTGTGCATTAGAATTATTTCATTGTGCCGAGAATGTTCTTATTACGCTGGAAAATTAATACCGAATACGGTGAATTTTATCGATAGTTTTACCTTTCCGTGACATTATCATTTTTCTTTTTCCCTTAAAATTTCTCTAAATGCTCTTTGAATTGTTCAATTCTCATAAACAAGAGACTCTAATATTCATAATAAAAGATTGTCAATCACATTATTCTTCTTTTCTACCCATAAATCACAAATTTAAATTTTCATAACACACAGTTTCTTTTATAATACTTTTACGACATTCATCCAATGAATTTCGTTTATTTCATATCATTTTTGCATCTCAAATGGGAGACAAGAGGATTTTCATTTATAAAATTTAAGTGGAAACCTCTGTAGTTTGTCTAATTGACGTTTCTTTGTTCTTTCTTATCTCCAGCTGCGCAACATTCAAATATTTTCAACGGATTTTTATGTTTTGCCCAAGTAGACAATGCATTGAAGGAACGCGAAATTTTTCGTTTTTCGCCATAACTAGTAATTAACTACACTATTCTGGATTTATCCTTTTTATCCCTTTTATCCTTTATCTTTTTAATCAAAATTACACCCAATCGATACGCGCATCGATAATATCTAAATATTTTTTATTAATACCAACTGTTATTGTGTAATTTATTTTTAGTGAAAGAAAACAACGTGTAATATTGAGTATTGAGATCCTTAAAGCGTCATTTCTCCATTAAGATTATTAATAAACAATAGAATATGGGAGAAATTCCATTACTGCTTTCTTCTTTTATATGTAAGGAATATAAAAAAAAAAACTATTCATGGATATTACAATGTTAATGTAATATTAAATTACAATTACAATATTAGCTAATTATATTCTTGCGTTCATAAATTATATGTTTTTTTAGTAATGACGAATTAAAAAATTCTTTAAAAATAATTTTCTAAAATTCAATTTAGCATTTTAAGTGGCATATATTTATATAAGTTTTATATTCATAATGATAATGTACGGTAAATAATAATACTTATTTCGAATGTCCATCTTATTGTATAATCAAATTCTTTTATTTTATTTGAAATCACCAAAAAAAAAAAAAAAAAAAAAAAAAAAAAAAAAAAAATTGATTTTAATCTTATAATATTTAATTTAACAGCAATGAAAATGCATTGTTGTAAGTGTACTATTTACAAGCATCTTTCAAAAAACACTTTTACAACTATAATTATTTGTATGTACAATATGTAAGTATTATCGTTTACGATCCTATTTACAATGCTAAGATCTCTGAAGATGCCGACCTCTCATTACATTTAGGTAAATATAATGTAAAAGCAATTTACATTTCAAATACGAGCATCATTTGAATAAACGAAGCCATATATTATTATAAGCAGTTTTGCGTATTACTAAAGCTATTTCGATAATATTTTAAATATAGTAAAAGCTTTTGTAGATACAAGATTTTGATTTTTGCTTTGGCTTCGATCAAATTTGGGCTATTTATGACAATTAATTTTTTATTATTGAAAATAATTTGTTATTTGATTTATTAGTTATGCACGTGCTCGGTAAAGCTAAATTTTATTGATGATCACTCGTAAAAGCCATTGTCAAAGTTATACAATAAAAATAAAATATTTGAAATAAATTTTATCAAGCAAACGAAGTTATCACTGTAAAATAGTATTTTACAATTAATATATCGTCGCTATTATTTAGCGATATTACTGATATTTTATTTTTATATATAGTTTCATTAAAAAGAAATTTTATAATAATTAATATTAATTAATAATTTTACATATAAGTTCTATCGTAATGATATTTTACTTATCATAATTCCATAATAACTATACATCTCAATTGCCATACAAAGCATACAAAAAATATTTTTATATTAATATATCTTGATTGGTGATAATTTATTATAAATATTCTATATAATATTCGGTAACAAATCATCAGCTGTTAAATAGTTGAATTCATCTGCTCGAAGAATTTGCAGCGTATCTCTTTGACTTCGTATCTTTCGAGTGAAAGGGCTTCTTCCGACGTAAAATATTCTGCTGTCTTCGTTCGACTCTTCATTCGTTCAAATATTTCTCTATTTTTATAATTATAGGCACATAATAATATGCTTTATGATATATAGAATGTGACGCTAAAATATAATATATTTCGTATGCAGACATGAAATGGATTTTATTAATTTCTATCAGGCAAATGGAATATAATGAATGGTAAGGTTACGAAGCTTAAAGCTTTTTAAGAAAGTTATGTGAAAGTTTCCACTCGAAAAGTGTCAGTATACTTATGATTTAAAAAATAATAAAAAAAAAAAAAAAAAAAAAAAACATACTACGAAAGAGGATTTTAAAGCTTTATTACGTATGAAATTCAATACTATGATATTCAATATGATTGGATTATAATATTTGGATTAAAAAATTAATTTTATACTTTAATACGGGTAAAGGATATAAAAGAATTAACATTTTTGAGAGTTTAATATAATTAAAATTATTTACATTTAATTAATCATGTATTTTTCTTTGTAATGTAAAATTTAAATTTATACTATATTATATACTTGTACAATACTTTCGTTATTTAATGTCCACATTGAAAAATTAAGCGAAAATTTCA